TTGCCTACATAATTTCAAAACCTGACTGGCGATTTCCTTTGAACATTCCATTATTTTTCTTTCCGCTCTGTATTTTTAAGTCGCTATCCCAACTCGCATATTATATTGCTATTATGTTAAGGATTTTTCTTCTAAATCATTTGATCATGTTTTCAGGATTCCAGATCTGTACATCAGAACTGGCACTTCTTATACCTGAGATTTGGAAATTCGACAGCGTTTGAATTTTTCCGATTTAGATCTTAAATGTTATTGGAGCTTTCGGCCGTTATAGACCTATTCTTAAAAGCTAGAACCACTCGCGAATAAAGAACAGTATTCAAGTAAAAATATTTCTTACCTTTGTCAGCTTTTTCTAATTGACTAAGAGACCTTATAAAGTACTGATCGGGTTTTCTCTTTTTTTGTATACATATAATCTTATTATCATTACTCATAATTATTAAAAAGTGCTAAATTTTACTATGTAAAACAGCAGAGCAATACTTATTAAATTTCAGACAAAAATGTGTAGTTTTAAGTGTTGAGCAAACTACTAAATATTCAAAATAATTGCGTATTTTTGTTTATTCTACTGGAGCAGTTCACTGTTTATTTATTCAAATGCACTTATATTTTAAAATGTATGTAGAATGTTTATTGAAAAATGTAGCTAAAATCTTCTTTTTGGTAGAGAAATATCTGCAGTTTTGTCGAATTATTGTTCAGCTCTGTTTTCATGTGATGAGTTGATGCAGGGGAATGAAGTAATAGACACTCATCACTAACGCACTCAACTGCGGACTAATTCAATCTAATCGAAAGCGTTGTCACAATCAGCCCTTACGGCAATTCTTTCGCCAGTTTAGTACTGACTATTAACAACTGTCCCCACTCCACTGCTCGCGCTAAATGAATTATCATGGGCTGGTAGAGATTCGAGTCCCGCCGAAGAGGGGACAGAATACAGTAATTGCATGTGAAATATGACGACCCTTCGGGTGGGCCCCTTCCCGCAATATTTTTGAGATTCCTCCTGCTACGTTTGAGGGGTGCTTTCTGCACCGGACGCCATTCCTGTAGAAATTCCTCTTTATTTAAATATTAATTCGGGGGCGTTAAGTGTTGCCCGCGGAGCCCCGGCAGTTAACTGCTTTATTCCAATTTAGATATTGACATTCCAGCCTTCACAAAGGACCCCTTCATTGTCATGCGTATATTCCTGGAACGCCATTCCGCCCTTTTGAAGCTGTCTCTTTTTCCCTTTTTTTTTTTTTTTATGTTAACTAACGTTTTCGAATTCCTGTAAGGCCCCGTATTTTTTTTTCCATTGTGTCTAATTAGTTAAAATGCCTGGGTAAGTGTATGTGTCTTTTAAATCGTTTAACATCATCACGAAATACTTTTGTAAGTATTATTTACTGCTTCATCACCGTTTCCTGAAAAATAAGTTTTCACGTGATCACATACTTGCTTCGTTTTACTTAATTGCTTATTTCGATGCTGATTAATTTAAATTGGGTAATTTTAAAAATTATTTCAGGTATATTTAAATTGCTACTAATTTACAGACCGAAATATTGCAGCTTCTTAAATGGTCTTCAAAATAATTATGTTTGTCATACAAAGTTTCCTCTCACTTTATTCTACAAACATTTACAATGAATAGCTCGTGAAAACATTACAAATTATTACACAATGGTTTATTATTTCCAAATATTTATATATCAAATATGTGTGGCGTGTAACACTTCGTTATTTCTTACCTATTCTCGGAAAATTTACATAAATGGTTGCCACTATAAGATTTTGTGATTGTTCATTTTTTTTTTTTTTTTATGTATATATACATTTATATACATACTGTATTTATTCAAGAAATTCCTGGGGGGTAGGAAAAAAAAAACAAAAAAAAAAAACATTTTTGTTTTTAAAAATCCATTATTTTTCAAATAACAATGGCGGCTGCTTTTGTAGAAAAAAAAAATGTGTTCCAGTTATAAAACTATAGGATTGCGTGTTTACACCTTCAAATATTTTTTCATTTTTTTATAATAATAGTCATATAAGCAAACAAATGTTTTAATAATTAAACAATAAATCGTTAAGAGATTCGTACGCTACGATTTTATTTTTCAACTAACAGCGGCTATCAATTCGATTACTGAGGCACTCTAAAGACTATCCCATTATGCAGTAACTGTACGATTCATTCCCTTGGTGCAGTTAAAAGCTCAATTGATTGGTCCGGCGATGCGTTTGAAATTGCAAAGTGGATTGTAAAAAGTTTAAAATAAATATTCACTTGGGAAGGTGGTGGGATAACAAGCCGTTTTACTACCTCCGAGGGTTTAATGACAGCCAATGGTTAAAGTATGCTTTAACGAGACCATAAAACATATCTTATAGTAATTGCTAAGGACCTAGTTAAGGGTGTAAGCTTTATTGCTATTGGTCGGTGGAACAAATTGTATCTGTTTTTTTTTCTATTGGTGGTCAGTGTACTTTATTACCGTCCCTGTATTTACATTACAGGGAGTTGTTATTTTATTGCCTTTTATTTTGTTATTATTTGTATTCATTTTCTGAGAAAAAAACTGCTCTCATTTTAAAGCAATTTATTTCCTTATAAACGACATTAATTTATTTTAAAATAATTGTCGATGTGTATGGTTATATTTAATTTTAATTTTAAGGTTTAATCACACCAAGTTCACTAGCTAATAATTCAGAAAACCATAAGCAAGTACAAAAGATCTTGAAAGAAGTTGTTCTTATTTATTAAAGAATAGATCCTGGATGGTCATTATTCATAGATCGTGCCGGATTCTGCTCTATTTGAATCTGGACTCTGGCCAATAGGGTAAAAAAAAATGGTTGTCAAGAATTATGTTAGTAGACAATGAAAACCTTGGGACAATACAATATTTTTACCTAAGCATATGTAATCATAGGAGGTTTCAGCAAGTTTTTTTTTCTTCTACTAATGAAGACTTGTTTTTTTTTTAGATCCGTATAACTACCAAATGTCCGTCCCAGAAAATATTAGAATATTCTTAAAGCCCGATGAGATTTGGAGCACCATTGCGAAAGTTTCACAAAATCCTTCGAATTCAATTCTTAACAATATTACTTATTCATTTAGGTATTTAATATAATCCTAATCTACTTACAAAACAAAATAAAAGTTCTCATTAGGAAATAATAAAACGCACAAATTCCACCTATCAATTTCAGTAATAACCTACTAACTATAATTTAACATAGTTTAGTTCTGCACTTAAAAGGAGCCTTAATGCAAGAGTTGAAAATATAAAAATAAATATTCAGAACCATTATAAAATATAAAAAAAAAAAAAATGTATGGGCAAATTCTAAAAATAAGAAATTATTACTTGGAAACATTTTATAAGTAATGCCATTGGTCCAATTTTAAAAGGAAGTTCCAAAAAACTTCAACTTCCCATTCAACTCATTTCGCTTTCGATGATTTTTCTTTTATTTATTATACCTTGCGTTATCAAGTACTGATCCTTGCATAGAACATTGAAACCAATATGGAGGAATTAGGAATAGCCCTTGTGCGTAGCGGACTAACTACAATGGGAGAAAGACAGCCTCTGCAACTCATGAATACAAAGTCCGGAAGACTGGGTAAAAGGCACCAGAGGCCCCAATAAATCGACATACATAGCGGGAAGTTGTCCGCCTGCGTGCCACGATAAAACTGCAATTGGGATTCAACTGCACAAGTGCAATTAAAGCGATGCTAAGTCCGTCGACAATTTTATCGCCCCTTTCGTTGAAACGATGTTCATTATTCGAGGATAACTGAACACTTCTGCCCCGGCATACTGACCATTTCAGCTCTCCGATTCCCGGTTCTTTCGAGTTTTACTGCCTTGTGTGGACTGTTATGTTCCTATTCACAATGGAAGAGTACTTTCCTTGCTCGTTATTGAAAATTATATGTTTCGACTTGGAGAAGTATGCTGTAAAAGAAATGTATGTTTTTTTTTCTAATATTGTATAAACTATTTCTATTCTATATTAGAAATGTTTTATCAAGTGAAAATGCGTTTTGCACTTTTTTGTGGAGAGTGAATTAGATTGATCCATCAGATTTCCGACGTGTAACGCTTGGGTTAAGTCGGCTAGAGTCGACTAATCTAAGTGTTTTTGCATATAGATTAAAAAATCTCAAAAACTAAAAATCGGACCTGCATACTGTAGGCGAGAGAATCGTTCAGCATTTCATCCTCGCTGTAATGGGCTATTATTCAAAATTGTGTCTTAACGCGACGACATGTTAGAGAGGCAAAAAGGGAATGATATTGTCGAAAATCAATTTATAATGAGTTTTATGATTTTTATGGTTTTATGATTCATTTCCTCATAGCAATAACAATCTTATAATTTCAGGTATTTTCTCATAACCTGTGAGTCATTTGTTCAGAAATTGTCAACATTTCTCAAAAGTTACATAGTTTGTCGTAAAAACAAAGTTACCATAAAAATAATAGTGTCATCATACTGTTCATTAAATCACAAAAAATTGATTTGTTAATCAACTATACATTGAAAAATATTGGTAAAGAAATCTTTTTTAAAACAATATTGGTGGTCCATCTTCTAATATATTAATAGTATATTAATATATTATATTTGAATTATATATCTGAATTATATTTAAAAGGAATATAGTTGTAAAATTCGAGTTTCACTAATTAAAAATATTTTTTATTTCCTTTGTACTTTATGATTTTCTATCACACATTTCCTTTTTAGTATTTTTTTATTTATTTCGCATCTATAAAATCATAGGAGAATCATTCTAAACCGATCTATCATGATATTAAATATCGAAATTAAATTTAAATACCTATTTTGGAATTTGAACACTGGTTTCATTCAGCTTTCTTTAAAGTTTTCCACAAAAAATGTGAAAAAAATGTTTGTTTTGTAATTGTTTTGATCCTTAATGTTATCACAGATAAGTAGAGGTGTTTTATTCCTCATTTTTAAATTTGAGATGGTTTGGTCATGTCTCTCGAATGCCAGAGAATCGAATGGCCAGGATAGAGTTGGAAAGTAAAGTGGAGAGAAGAAGACCTCAGGGAAGGCCCAGGAAGACCTGGGAGGTCAGTGTCAAGGAGGCCTTTGAAAGAAGGGATATTGACTGGAGGACGAGGCAGCGGTAGGCTCAGGATCGAGAGTTGTGGATTTGGCTCTACAAGAAGGCTTCTGACACCGTTTATTATTTAAAAATTCGATATATCAAGTACATAAGTCCTTTAATGCAGTAATACCAGAGAAACTTATAATTGTAATAAGTACTCACAAGTGATGGAGAGGGGTAGTTCATTGAGTAAGGCGTTGTGCTCCTGTGCAACGTCCCAAATTCGATTCAGGCTATGGTAAATAATTATTCGTTCTGTTGCATCAATCGATGATCCATCCTGGAATCAGGAGACACTCCTGGGGCTCATCCAGCGTCTATAAATGAAGTACTCTTTATTAAATAATGATGAGGATGTTGAGCTAAGCTCAATGAGCATGATGTCGGCCCCACCCATAGAGATAGGTGATACAGGTTTTTTGACATTACATTGCTACTTTTTAATTTCAATTAAGATTAATATAGTTATTTGATGAAAAATAGTTATTTCAGATGTACCGGAATTATAGTATATTTCTATTTAATAATATCGTTTGGACTTTTCCATAAATTGGTTTGGAATTGATTTTTCTATATTACTCCCACGCCGATCCCAAGTTTACGACAGTTTGATTAAGCAGTTCTTTTATATCACACTTTTTCTCCTGCGAATGAGATCGAAGAAGGCGATAAAAGTTGGTAATCGACCAACTCGGAAACTGTTACTTTTTTATTGTACATTTTTTCTTTCTTTTTTTTTCTTTCTCCTTTAAACTCTTAGCCGTTGATATTGAAAACTCTCGTTTGCCGGCATTTTGATGCCCAAGCGTTATATTTACATTCACCTCTGATATATACTATGTTCTCTTTTATTATTGTCTGTCGTCTTTATCTTTCTGTTTGCTATCATGGCCTGTTGAGAACTTATGAAAAGTCCTTGTTTGTCATTCGAGTTTATATTGCCGCATTTTTCCATGATGTCTTTTGTTTTATTCCTCCTCGAGTCGTCCTGAAACTAAGTCTTGAGATTTGTCCTGCTACGAATAATATTTTATTATTTCTGAGATATGAGTTGTTTGACTTTTTCATATTAATATATCGGTATATACATATAACTTTGACTATTTTATTAAATTTCAATATAATTACATTTTCGTTATATTTTATTTATATAGGATTTTCGAATATAGTGAAATCGTGTTCGATTATATATTAATAGTGATGTAATGTATAATATACTGAGTCCGGCAGAGCTGCTTCATCAGATAAAGTTTTTCGCCCAGAAGCTTTATTTCCAGTAATTTGTTATCAAAAGTTTAAAATTTCTTGGATCATCTACGCATATTCCAATCAGGAATAACATTCTCTTTTTCGAATCGTAACAACAAACAAATATAACGTAATCAGAAATTTTCATGATAGCCCAATAAATGAGAAACTAAAATAAATTATAGATTTGGACTAAGTCTAACCAATCCATGACACATTTTGTGAATGTTTTTGACTTTCCACATCTAGTCTTGCCATAACCTCATCCGATATTTTGTTTTAATAAAATTCCATGTTAAGAACCCGTTTTCTATAGTTAAAATTTAGTTTTATTGACCGTTAATATGAATTCGACAATAGGTGCTATCTATCAATTGGATATATAGATAGATAAAAAATAAACATTATTCTTGGACAAAATTAAGAATAAAATGTATGTGCAAATAAACAAAACATAGCTGGCCAAAAACCACATTAACAAAACTTCTAACTATATACAATATAACTTCAATAATAATATGTAAACAACCAATGACAAAATCATCTCATCAATAAATATAATTGTAATGAAAACACAAAAAAAAATCAAAACCTCAAGAAAAGAAAAAAATATTGTAATAAAGTATTGTTGGGACTTATTGATAGTTCAAGTGAAACAGGTGCCTTATGTTTGCTCGTTTAAAATGTTTAGGCTACTTGAATTTTTGAATGTATGATTAAAGTATACGAAGGTGGTTTTAGTTTGTACTTTAAAATGAATTAAAAATGAGCTAAATATTATTGTTTTGGAAACTACTATTTCAAGCAAAGTTATTCATTTATAAATTATCAATGCTGTTGTTATTTTATTGGTCCGTTTCAAGTTGTTAAATGCACTGGTATAGCATGTTAAGTTGGGCGAAAATTTACAAGGAAGTGCTCCCTGGTGAAGAGACTTTGTTCCATATCTCTGTCCCATAGTTTAATACTCCGGAGAAGCACGTATCGCTTTAAGATTTCGTTAGTTCGTGCCCCCTACACAGCCGCTGGCTTATTGGGATTCCCTCCGGGTCCGCTAGATCGGGAGCCAGGCGTTATCCCCGGATTTGGAAAGTTGGCAAGTTAACTCATGCAGAGGAGGACTCTTGCAAAACCCTGGTCTTTATCGTAGGCCGAGGGTCAGGTACCTGGGTTTAGGCCTACCCGGGTTATCGCTGAGAGGCCACCAGCTACTGCCGTTATCAGGTAGCTACCAGATGTCCGAGGCTATTATTTAATTAAAACCAGCCGGTCGTGGGGTGTTGTACACAGCTCCCCGGCGATGAGGAGTACGTGGCAGGCATCGCAATGTGCTCGGTACCTGTGGGAGAGGGGGGGGGTGAGGGTGGTCCGTTCCTGAAATTGGCTCGGCCTTTTTGATTCCGCAGATAAAGTTAATTTCCTTTGAGGGGTTGGCGAATGGGGCGGAAATGACATGCTCCCGTAATCTCGTTGATGGTGCCAGAATGGCCTCCGATATTTCAATTCTAAATTCAATTATGATAGTCTGTTGGAGAAAAGCGGTTGGCTATTTGCGATTCGTGGAATGATTTACTGTGTTGGTAAACATATTGTTTTAACTGAGGAAAAACAAAACAGAAAAATACATCCCTATTAAAAAATATAAAAATTGAAAAAGTTCCAAATTTCGTCGGTCTTCAGACTCATTTAAATGGTTTATATGGTTTTAGCAATTATCTTTTGCATCATAATTAGCTAATGGGCAATTAATATGAAACAAATATGTAATTATAAAATGTACAATATATTTAGTTTAATGTACTAAATAATATAATGCAAATATTTTTCTAATAGTTCGAAAATATTTCTAATAAAAATTACTGTATAACAAACAATAAAAGAAAGTGGATCCCGAAACGTCATAATAAAATAAAGAAAAATTGTAGGGAGATTAAATGCTGTTATTAAAACTCACTCTTATGCCTCAAAAAAAAGTATCTCTCTTAGGACTTATAAAGAAAATAAAAAATTAGATTAACAATGGAAGCATAATTTGTTTTGGAAATAACTGATGCTTTTGAAACACAATACTGAAACCTAGAAAATTGAAAAAAAAAAGTTATAAGTAATAATTTAATTTAAGAAGCTCATAAAATATTTTTAAAAAAAATAATCTATTTGCGCAAGAATATTACACAGATACCCCTGTATGGTAAAGGTGATCATCATATAGACAATTATATATATATATATATATATATATATATATATATATATATAATATAATATAATATAAAAGTATTGGTAAGCATTTTCAGAAAAATAGCTCCTTCTTTCTATTTTTTTTGTATTATACAAATATCTGCTTCTTCTGAGAATACTAGTGTATTGTTCTTATTTTTATTTTTTATTTTTTGTGTACGTTTTTAGAGACGAATACAAATATGATTTCATTAGAAGAATATCCTTCTAAAGAAAGTCCATTATCAGATGAAGACTTATTAAATATTATCAGTCTGTTTTTATTATAATTAACTCCTGCTTCCAAAGTGATTCCTCTCAGATGTAATGTAATGAAAATAAATAAATTTTCCTATAACATAAAAACCTGTGACAGATTTGAGGAAAATCATCTGTTATTTGCTTATTTCACAACTGAAAATAATATCATTAACAATATACCGCTAGAAATACCCGAAAATGTGTTGAACATTTTCCTTTCTTCACATTTTGTCTTTGTATGAACATAAAAACGTTTTGTTGATTATCGAATCCTTAGATGCAAAAATTATCGTTACTTCCATCATTTAGTTGCTATCTCTATCCTCTACCGTCTCGAAATCGAATATCTAATGGAAGTTAGGGATGGAGGTGGGTTAACATTGAACTGAGGTGCCATCGAAACCATTTAATCGATCTCTGAGTCAGTGAAGTTGAAAATTAGTCACTGCCTTGTGGTGTCATGCCTGGCAGGTATAATACTATCCCAGCACGAAGCCGCCCACTGGGAAGGTAAATGTGATTCCCCTTCAACGAGGGATAATCGTCTTCAGGCATTTGTAGTATTAGTTTGTAGCTATAAGTTATATTGCTATATTGAAATCCAGTCTTCTGAAAATAACTTTCTTTTACTAAATAACTAAGTACACCAATCTGGCTGAGTTTGCAAGAAAAGAAATAGTAATTGCTAAACCAAACATTTAAAATCAGTTGTTGCTGTTAGTAAGTTTTTTTTGAATAATTTTGTTATGAACTATTTAACAACTGTTAACAATAATTTTGATAATTACCATCCTTTACTAAAAAAACACTTTTTTTTTATCAATATAATGTGGTAGTCCTTGTTTGAAAGTTGTCCTATGCGCGGTTGTACCGACCGGTTTTAACATTAATTTTACTAATTTTGATTAGTTTAACACTGGTTTACAGAATTTTCTTTGTACCAATGTTGGTTATCTTTAACAACATGTTAAGTTATCGTAACTAGCTAATCTAACGTTAGTCCTTGATCAAATCTTTAAACGATGCTAATTTTAATCTTATATAGGATTACTTCAAACAACAAACAAATATTTGCTTCTTCTGAGAATACTAATGTACATTTTCTTTTTTTTTTTAAAGACGAAAACAAATATGATTTCATTTGAAGAACATGCTTCTGAAGAAAGTTCATCATCAGATGAAGACTTATCAAATATTATCAATCTATTTTTCAATTTCAGAAAAATTACTCCATGTTTCTAATTTTTTCCCATTGTCTTAAACAATAATTAACAATCTAAATGCAATTAAATAACCTAACACCTCGTTAGTTCTAAATATCAAAGTTCACACGCAAGTGGATGGAAGGATTCATAATATAACCGAATAGTCTATAGTACAGACCTTTTTTTTTATCAAATGATTAACATCCGGCTGAAACATCATGAATAACTTCATCAGATCGTAACCTCCACTTATTTTATTTACAATTAAGTCTTTAATAATTACGGCTTTAATAAACCGGAGATCGGAAAACTTTGTCTGCTTAATAAGTACTAAAAATTCATGAATTCCCATTTGCTTTCCACTTGAATAGTAAAATAATATGATCACAGAATCGAAAAATAAAATGTGGCCTAAAAAAATATTGGGACATTTGGGCTGTATAATAATGAGCTAAAAAATAATGGTCTATGTAACCTCATTATTTTAACTTTTTCGGGATGGAGCTCACACCAAACGGATCAATATTTTTTCGAACTTTCGATCATATTATTTTACGATTCAAGTGAAAAGCAAATGGTTATTAATGAGTTTTTAATACCTAATTAAATAGACAAAGTTCCCGGATCTCGAGATTAAAAACTCCCCAATTCCGAGAATTTTCTTAAATAAAATATTTTTAGGTTATGATGAGATGAAGCTTTTTACAAGTTCCTCTACAATCACAGGTTCTTGTTATACGTCATTGATAAGATGACGTCACTAGTTAACACCTTGTTAACTAACTCGGTTTATAATGTTATTGGAGCAACTGGAATCAAACGTCGGTTAAGTTTTAACGTGAGTTAGTTAACATAGAATGTTAGCTTTATCACGACTGTTTGTGCAACCGGGCTCTATTTTTTTTCAAAATAATACGGCTTTACTTGTACCGTGTTCACTTCAACCGTTATGTTTGATAGAGTTATTTCTACTCCACTTACCTCCCCTCCCCCCTTACCTTTAGTACCATCCATTACCCTTAGCCCTCACTATCGATATACTGTATTATCCCCACGTTACCCCGGTCTGTCGGCACCAACGGCCCTCTGGGGCCTTGGAGTGGCATGCAAAGTGGACAGCCCTCCTGGCCGATAGACAATAGATTATTGTCGCTAGTGGCCTGCTAGTGACACGGGCTTGTCCCTCTACTCGGCCAATAGATATACCACTCCACAAGATTAGTCCTCATGCTGTTTGTAATTTCTGTTAAAACGGTAGTCCCTCTCGGTTTGTAAATCAAACACACTCAGAGCTCCCAATTTATCTCTTCCATTAGGTATCGTGTACTCGTGAGTTTCTGTGTTGCTTTTACCAATATACGAGTATCTCTCTCATCATGGTCCTCTCTATATATTTTATATATAAATCCATCTGGATATAAATGGACATTTCCTGAAAATCGCTTTTTTTTTTCATCATCCATTTTTTTTTGTCCCTAAATATAAGACTTTTTTATAATATATTGTAAAAAAATTGTACAAAAATGTGTAGTGGCTCCATCATATATAATTTAATGTATTAATCATGTTACTGTTTTACTTACATATATTACCAACTTTTCGTACATTACACAATGTTGCAGTGCATCAGTTTTCATTCTTTTCAAAAAAAATTTTAGATAATTTAGCTTTAATAAAAATTAAAAACCATTAGGTAAATGATACATTCCATTACGTTGATGAAACATCTATTCCTTGTTACCTGTAGAAGCATTAGTTCTATATTCGTATTACGAATTGATTTATAAAAGTACTCTTACCTGAACTTTTACAATAATTCAACTCCGTATCTGGGGTGCCCAGAAGGGGTTGCATGGTGCAACTTGAGCCATAAAATATTTCGAGGGGGGCATATTTTTATGAGGTTTTGAATTTTTTAGGGAAGTGAATTTTAATGAGGTTATGAATTTTTGGCAGGGGCCATTTTTTGTGGGTTTAATTAAAGTGAACATAAAGCAGGGATCAAGGGGAAAGCCAAGGCGCAGATACAGCAAATACAATTGTATTAGATCTGCAATGTTTCCAATTCTACTTTCGCTTGCACAGTTTTTAAGAAGAGGAGACCAATAAAATTTACTTCTTGAGGGTGGGGTAAGCACCATCGACTTTGAGAGATGTAACCTCTGCTCCATATTGTTTAATTTCAATAAACACTTTACTTGTATTAGTTTATTTCTATTGTTTGGTGCGAATGAACTTCGTTACTGAAGTGTCCCTTACGTACATTTGTGGGGTATTGAATTAATTGATTTGCGTATTTATATTTAAATTAACTGATAACTGATTTCAACGCAAGATTGTTGGTTGTACGTATTTCTAAATACATAACGCCTCACACCTAAAAGTATCAGATTATAACGATTCGCCCCGCATGTGACAAGAAATATCAATTATTAATCTGGAACCGGAACGACTTGTAACTTGTTGATAGACTCAGAATCCTGTTACTAGCATAAACTGGTATCATCAGTAAACGTTGTTGGACCCTTGGTTACTAAATCACTATAAAAATCACATCAAATACAATCAACAAAATTATTAGAGAAGTTAAGACATCTTGACCCCGCCAGAATCTCTCTGCAATACTTTTTTAACCTTTCGATTTTTTTGCATTGAATTTTTAATTGTACAATTATTTATCCTTTAAGTATTGCTAATAATTTCTGTGAAGCAGGATGTGGGCATAATTGATTGTATCATTTTTTTAGTTTGTGTTTGGTAAATATGAAA